ATTGTTTTGCGCGATGTTAGACTGCTATTTGCGTGCAACAAGGATGAGACTAAAAATTAGAATAATGAAATGAGGCTAAACGATTCTTTCACATTGGAGCAATCGCACGGACGGTTACACGTGTCTGTCAGGAAGAAAAAAAAAAGATATACTTAAATTATTAAAACATTTAAAATTCTTTATTGATTCTTCTTTATTAACGATCGATAGAAATAGAATTGGAAACTCCTTCTGCTATAGTAATACATATGTGTGAACATGATCACATGTCGGCTGTACTCCACTTATAGGCATCTTCTTGTAAAGCTACTTTTGCATTTTGTGCTTCGTACCACTTCTTCTCATATCCGTTACTTCTATCGACCCCATCCCATCGATGACCGGGTTTAATACCGAATCGATTTGGCGCGTACGAACCTTGATATTGCGGTGGATCTACAATTAAACCGGTTGAATGACAATTTCTTTTAAGTATACAATAAGAACAGAAATGTAAATTTCTCTCTCTCTCTCTCTCTCTCTCTCTCTTTACATACCTGGCTTTCTTTTTCCCTCTTTTATTTGTTTTTGTTTTATATACTTTAACATAGGATCACCTTCTCTGTCTTGTTCTTTCAATTCTTGATCTAGATCTGCATCATCTGCGTATCTCGCCAAAGGTTTATGCATCTCATGCAAGTCATTTTTTAATTTTTCCTCACGATCCTCCACTTGTTTCAAACTAGAATAAGACATGGACATTTATTGTCATGGACATATATCAGCGAGAGAATCAAAGAATCTATCAGAAAAGCAAGAACGAAATAAAGATGAAAGAAAAATAGTTCACCCTTTGCCCCATTTGGCGTATTTCTCATCTATCTCTCGTTGTTTCATTTCCTGTTCTTGTTTTTCTGCTGCTTCTGCTTCTAAATTGCGCTTTCTTCCTGTTTTGTCACGTACAATCGTAGCTTGTCCTTCCCCAGTGATCTCTTTACTTAACTGAGACAATTCAACGCTATCTTATACTATCTGTAGTCTCCACAAATAAATAAATACTTTTATAAATATAACTTCGAATTATAAAGAATATTACCTTGCTAAAATGCTCCGCCTCTTGTCGTTTATGAGCTTCCGTTTCTTCTCGCAATGCTGTTGCAGCTTGAAATCCTGCTGTTTTCCCGTCTAATGTCTTTGTCGCTCGATCGTGATGATCTCTGGAATAATTTCTCGCGTGTCCACGTTCAGAAACGTTTGTTTCCTCATCCCAACGCGTCTTTTTTCTTCTCTCCCGTGTATCTGAATACGATCGAGATTTATGATCTCTATCTTCATATTTCTTCTCAAGTTTATTTCTGTTCGATCTGTTCAAAGAGATTATTATATGTATTTATCATTTTGTTAATTCATATGCAACAGAATTTAAAAAAGAATGAGAACTAATAAGATTCCCTAAAATTGAAAACAATAATAATAAAAATTCAGTATTTGTGAAAAAAATTTCTTAATCTCAAATATTATATAAAAAAGTTTATTAAAAAAACGAATATTAATTATATATTCTTCTCTAAGATTAAAAATCGATTGTATGCAACAACAGAATATTGATTATAATCTTCATCGAACGTCAAAATTACCTCGAAACATCTTGTCTACCGTATCTGGATGAATTTTTTTTATCGTAATAATCATGCCCTCTATTGTCTCTACGCGAAATGGAACGTGGCGAATTATCCCTCCGGGATCGATGATCATTACGCCGAGATGTATTTGAATCCGAATCTTTGCCCTTTGTTTTCTTTCTGCTTTCATATAAATCTGTATCTAGATTCTGTTTGCGATTTTTTCTAGGTGGACTAAAATCCGAATCACTATCTTTGTTACCTGAACTTCGATAGCTTCGTCCAGATGTACTGTGAGCCGAAGTCCGATATTTTGTATTTCTAGGTGGACTTAAATCAGAATCATTATTTCTGGATTGTTGAGATGGACTCAAATCTGAATCATAATTTTTAGATTGCCTAGGTGGACTTAAATCTGAATCATCATTTTTAGATCGTCTGTATGAATTTGAGTCAATATGTTTATACTTAGAATGCTTAAGTCTAGGTGGACTCGGATCAGAACTATCATCCTTCGATCGTTCATTTGGACTCAAATCTGTACGTTTATTTTTAGAATGCTTAGATCTAGGTGGACTCAAGTCTGAACTATCACCTTTAGATTGTCCATGAGGACTTAAATCCACATGTTTATTTTTAGAATGCTTAGCTCTAGGTGGACTCAAATCAGAGTTGTCATTGGCCTGCTTGGCATTTGTCTCATTAAGATTTCTTTTGTCTTTATCGACAATATGATTAATAATAGTTAAATCGCCTTCGTCATTCTCAGTTATAATTTTCCACCTTCGTTTATCTGTGAAATCAACTGGTCCACGTTCGTCAACTATACCAGCGATTTGAGGAGCATCTTCTCCCTCTAAGAGGATATCGAATTCACCTTCTTCAATAGGTCTCATATTCTTCAAATCTATATCATCATCTATAATTTTTACTCTGCAAAAATATTTCCATCCGATTCACGTTCAGGTCAAAGATTTTCCTTGCAAAAACTATTTTATAAGGACCAAGAAAGCTTTTTAATTATGTGACGAAATTAAATGCGCAAATATATTAATCGCCATGTGTGAAAATATCTCAACAAAAATATCATAGAAATATGTTCTGAGTAATTAAATTTTTAGCATTATTTTTAAAATAATGTAATTTTATTTGGAAAATAACGTTCAATAATTTTACGTGAAAAATATGAAAAATAATTGATGATATGAATAATAGAAACATATTAATATTATGTTTATGCAGCCACCGTTTATATTGCATTCTAGAACATCATACACAGCTGACAACATAACCTAACTTCGATGCAAAATATTCACCGTTGATTAAACTAAAATATTTATAAATTTATTCTTACGTTTTCATTCCTGTTTTATATTTCTTCTTCTTCTTTTTCTTCTTTTTTTCGTCACCATCGTTTAAGGATGTGTATTTTTTCAAGTATTCCTTCTGACTAATTTCTTTATTCTCCATCACAAGTTTCTAAACTATGAAACAAAACACGCGATACGATATATCATTAAATCTCAATTCACGGCGAGATAAACCTAGTTATTTTTTAAATAATAAATTTATAACAATAAAGTATAAACACACTACTGCAAATACTACACTGTTAACACCTCTAAAGGTAAAGAGAATCAAACATCAAAGGAAAATCGATAACTCGCGACAATCGCAACCAGCTTCGGTACGCAGCACGTTGCCTAATGTAGATAATTTCAAGTTGTTTCTATTTCAGGGATAAATCAAATCTGAGAGTTGCCAGAATTGTTTAGCTTGTCAAAGTTGAATATATACGTACGCATTTAAAGATTACAATTTTAAACAATCAATATAATATATTTCACAAATGAGAGAGAGAGAGAGAGAGAGAGAGAGAGAGAGAGAGAGA